TCTTTCATAATGTAGTGAAAAGTATTTCCCTGTTAGCCTCTGTTTACCCATCATATTAAGGATGCTTTCCTCGCCAGGTTAAGCAGCGAACTGGCCTGGAGGAAGCCTGTGATGAAGCCTTGGTAGACACAGTCAAGCTCCTTCAAGTTGAGCACGTAATCTGTGTGGGGAATTATGTTACAGACAGAACACGTAAAGCCTTTGACAAAGCAGGCATTACAAACATTGAGGTAAAGTATAATGCTGTAAATGCTAAGAGATTTAAGGGAAATGGTTTTGTATAGTATTATTTATTATATGTTTCTTCATATAGTTGAGATTGTTGGCTTAAATTTTAGGCCACTGAAATGGACTAAGCCAAAGTGTGAAGTCTTCATATTTTAGAATGGATGTAAATGAGATAATTCTGTTATGTCAACCTTTCTAGACAAAACATTCATTGATAAATTGGCATGATAGTACTTTTTGCTAATACTATTATTTATCCCACTACTATTTGGTATGTCACTGAAATCCAAACATTAATTTTGCAGATTAGCTTGTTGATGCACCCAAGCCCAGTGAACCCAGCAGCAAATAAAGGGTGGAGGGAAATTGCTATCAAACAATTAACAGAAAGCAAGGTCATTCAGTATTTTAAGCCAGAAGCTTAATTGTAGCATTCAGATGTTCGTACAATTTACACATACAAAAATTGGTTGATGATTCACAAGCATTGTGCACTCTCTTGTAATTTGCACTCACAATGGATGGAATTGCAAGCACAGACCTAAGTAACCAGTGGATGGAGGCAGCTCTGAACCAAGCAAAAGATGCACTCAACTCAGGTGAAGTACCCGTAGGCTGTGTCTTCATCTACAAGGGTTCAATCATAGCCTCTGGTCGCAACACAGTCAATGAAACTCACAACGCTACCAGACACGCTGAGATGAACTGCGTTGACCAAGTATTGGATTGGTGTCAAGAGAAGAAGCTCAATCACAAACATGTTTTTCCAGAGATTAGTATTTACGTCACTGTAGAGCCTTGCGGTATGTGTGCTGATGCATTAGGGCAGCTCGACATTCAAGAAATTGTGTTTGGCTGCTCGAACGACAGATTTGGGGGCTGCGGCTCTGTCGTCAATGTCCCTAAAATGTATAATTATCCATTTAACATCAAAAAAGGCATTAGAGCTGATGAAGCCATTGGACTCTTGAAGGATTTCTACAAAGGTGAAAATCCCAATGCTCCGTCTGACAAAGCAAAGCGTAAGAAAAGTCAGCAGTAGCCAAGTTCTGTAACTCATTCCATGAATTGGATTTGAATTATATTCAGGTATAAAATAATTCTTATGATTTAATTCTGGTGTACTGAGATTCAAGGAACTATCATTAATTTCATTTACATCATATAATTCAATCAAAAGTTTTGATATTTAAAGATGATTTTTTAAAACATACATATACCTTGTGGTTATCAATGATAATGTCAGAAAATATTTAAATTCACACCAAGATAAGGTTGAATTTAAATGTTTGCAAAACAGTTGCACAACCTTTTATATACAGTTTCAGTAGTGAAGAGTCTTCATAAAAGGTGATGATCTGGATGGTTTTAGCAAAAGAAATGTAAAGCATGTCTTCAGAGCGGATCACTTCACGTTAGTATTGGCCAAGAAATGTCTATTTTATGCATACAATTTAACCCTCTGTGCTGATTCTCAGGCTTTTTATCTGTAAGTGAAGAACAGAAATTTGTATCTTAATTTCTTAGTATTTTGTGAAAGTTTTTATACATAGACAATTAAATGTCAGTTCTATTTTAACCCTGCAATGTGAAGTTAATTATTATATTATCCTTTTTGAAAAGTATGTATATAAACAGTTTAATACCCAAGACTTTTTGTTGTTAGTATTTAATATTAGTACAAAAGTCTTTTACAACTTATTGTGTTTATAGTTCACAAAGAAAATGTATTTTTTATTTTTTTATAATTTTTAAACAAATAATAGTACAAGCACTTCTAGCAAAGAAGGATAAGTGTTCTTCAGATAAAATATAAATAAAAAACTGCAATTCATATGTGTTTTATTTATATGGTAAATAAGTTCTGATTTTTTTTTCTAATCTCATACATGTTACATATTACTGGCTCCCTTTCCTGCAAAACCGTAAAACCATGAGGTTCTCTGGGCCTGTCCTGCGCCTCATTAGACACTCGCATGAAAAACCTCTACTTTCCATTATACTTGCAATTTCTTCTGGATCATTTTCCTTTAACACAAGCAAGTAGAAGAGTCCTTTTGGAGACAGTAGTGCTTCCACACTGGGCAAGAGCCTGTCTAAGACCTCTCTGCCTTTCACTCCACCTGCCCATGTGTACTCGAGGTCTCCCTGCCCCACCTCCTCAGAAGGGGTAACAACATATGGCGGATTGAATAGCAGCACATCAATGGTCCCTTTTACTCTGTCAATGACATTCGCAACCAGGTCTGTACACACACACGCTATGTTAACTCCATTTGCTCTGCCCGTTTCCTGGGTGACACTGCAAGCTCTTGGGTTGATGTCGGTACCCATGTACTGGCACCGGGGCCCAAGGACGCTTCCAAGAGCCGTTATTACAACACCTGACCCAGTACCCACTTCTAGACACACAGTAGGTTCACGTTTCCGAATAAATGCTAGGTCCTTCTCCAGGGCATCAATGAGTAGGAAGCTGTCTTCTGAAGGCTCGTAAATATGATTTAGATCTTCTGACGTTATGTGAGAAAAATCGGGGGTCTTTATCTTGTCTACTTGATCCATTGCTGTGATATCCACTTGCTGATATTAAAAGACTCACTTGTGCTTTTTAAAATGTATCAACATAAATTTCCACCTACTACACAAGGCCCCTTGCTGCTTCCCCCCAAATTATTCTCAAGTTAAAGAATAATATCACAACGAAACTATACTCCGAAATTTCAAATGACTAGATAGTTAATATGTAATTAAGTATCATTAATAATATCGCATATATCTATATACACACAAATTCTCTGCGCATCCAATGTGACCTCAAACACCTCAGTTTTAAACAAATGGAATGTATTACTCTTGCTACATTGGCACAATATCTAAGTCACATGAATACAGCAAGTCCACAAATACAAGTTCCCAGGATGGACACCAAAAGAAAACTATGACAGAATCAGATCACTCATTATATAATCAATTCTCTGGTATGTCTTAAAGCAAGAACGATGTGCTCTCTATATGTTTTGAAACATTTAATAGCTAATAAAATTCTGAAGTTTTTTTTTTTATGACGGAAAGTCAAGTCACGGTGCATGAAGTGAAGTTGATGGGACTGTCGATGGCGAACTGGTATCTAACAGGGCTTTTCTACGTGCTGTTTCTTTGCTGACCTGGTTGTGCAATTTATTGAGTCGATCCTGGGGAAAGGAAACGAGTAATGTCATTAATTTATACAACACCAACAATTAAAAACCTAAATTGGAGTTTGTAAGTGGAATTGAAATAAAATAATCCACTACTCATATCACTTTCTATTAAACAACATTATCAAGCTATACCGTATTATCTTTGAAACGTAACTATTTTACTATTTATTGTCCTTTGATCTTAACATCTCAATATTCCTGTAGTACTGCAAATTACAAATTTTTTTTACTCAAAATCATAGTTTCTGACACATGAAGCTATGGTACAATGGCAAAGATAAATAATTACACAAAGTACAAGTAAAGTATATCCACAGTTAGAAGCTAAGACTGACAAAACAGAAGAGGATCACAGCAAGAAATATTTAAAAAGAAAAACATTTCCTCAATATATCACTCTTGCTACATCATCACACTATCTACACCCACCTGTGTATTTTGTAGAATATTGTTAACTACAACCACTCTTCTCTTGGCATTCTGCAGCTTCTTTATGTAGGCATCGAGCTGGAGTGGACACTGCGTCTGTTCCTGGACCCTTGTCAATTCCACTGATAGACCCTCAAGTTGTTGATGTAGCTCGCTCTGGCTCACTCTGGAAAAGGCATTTAGATATTGTCAAAGGTTCTTACAGTAAGAATAATATATGAAAATAAAATAATAATTGCTAATAATCATAAATGAGGTAAGTCCTATTTCCTGCTCTTCACGAGCTTTCTTGATATCACAAACATATAGACTGAAAAAAAAAAAAAAAAAGGTGATGTTCTATTCATGAAGATCAAACATTTCCAAGTCATGAAATATGACATGAATATAACAAAGAAAATATGAAGGAAGGAACAAGGAAAAAAAGTATTTAAAAAGTGACCACCGACAGAGAAAAACTACCACAATTGTCAAAAACAAACAGCATCACCCCATGTGCATCCAAAAGTCTCAGTCCAATTGCATGAAATGTAATTCTTTACAGTGCAGATGCACTTGCCACAGACTAAGTCCCCAACTCCACATCACAAAATTTATTTAATAATCTAAGTTATTTGATTGGGCACTGCCAGAAGGGAGGGTTGATGGAGGGTTCTGTCCCAAATATCCCCCCCCGGAAAACATGGTCTTCACCTCATAGAGCTGAAACTTGGGAGGACAAGTAGACTTTGGGTGTGAGCTGCACTTTCTTGGATCTCCTTTCTAAATCATTACTGATTCGTGTCTGATGATTATTTCCTGTTCTCACGACTACAATTATTTGTCCTCTACAAAAATACCATCTTCAATTTCCCCTAGCTTAGTGTGTCCACACTGTAAAGATTAACCACATGAAAATGACACTCCAAAAATGTTTTGTTAGTTTAAACTTTCATCTATAATATTAATACTGATAGGTAAACATTAGTGCATTAATATCAATATATCAGCACTTATTTTATAGATGAAAGTTTATACTAACAAAAATTTTTAAAGACTCACTTTTGGGTAATAGGTCTCAGAACAACTCTGGAATGCTCACACCTTCAAATTATTTGTACACAATTCCTTATCAGATTCTGCTAATCTATGAAACACTGCCATGGCCTCCACACGGCACATTTTGGCAATGTTCAAAATGATTTACCACATATTCTGGCTAGAAAGAGGTTATAGACTTTTCTAGGTTAATCTTTACGGTAAGGATGCACTAAAATAGGCAAAATGGAGATGATGTTTTTACAGAGGACAACAAGTTTGTTGTTGGTATAAAAAATAATCTGCAGACACGAATGATAATACTATAGGTAAAGAAAAAAAGATAGCGGAAAGTGCCGCTCACAGCCTAAGTCCACTCAATGCTCCCAAGTTTCAGCTCTATCTTGCCATGCATACCAAGGTGAAGAACCGCCCATCAAACCTTAGATTGTTGAACAAATTTTGTGATGAGTTGGAGACTTGGTCTGTGATGAGTGCATCCATACTGTAAAGAATTACCCTTTTCTGCAATCTATCACAAATAAACTAGTAGTGGTTTGTTACTGGAACATAAAGGAGACCACAGCACTGCAGGATTCTGATTATTGCATTTTATTAATAAATGCAATTGTTTACAAGGAAGACACTAGAACATATCACTAATTTTTCTTAAGTACCATAAGATGTACCTAAAAGTGGAGTACAGATTTTTTGTATCAAATGTGTGAAATTTCATGCCACAGCATTTTTGCTAAAAATACACAGCATTCACTTAGATATATTAATCTAATAACTACAGATTTTTTGTATCAAATGTGTTTGTGAAATTTCATGCCACAGCATTTTTGCTAAAAATACACAGTATACTTTGACTAGTTCTTTTCAATATTCATTTCATTTACAAAGCCTTTTCAAACCAAGTAAACTAGAGTGCAATAATTTAACTTCAAATTCATGACCCAGATGAATGTTCTGCCACTAAGGGCATCATAATACCAATCAAACAACAGGAACAATCTCTCACTTGATTCACTGTGCTAACCTCAACTCATTCTATTTATTTTATTTCACATTTCATTTCCAGCACAACATGCTACAGCCCAACTAAGCAGCACCAAAATACGGCCCACACAAATTATTTTTTGATACGTGTCTTGTATGTGTAACAATCATAATAACTACATACCAACATGAACCTGAATAGTGAAAACAAGGGGACATTCTATTGACTTTGGTTGTTCTTCAACAGTAATAAGGGTTTTCTTGTGATACAATATTCCATCCACAGCACAATATATGATGAACAACTATCTATTACAAGACATGACAAAGAACATTATCAATCCATAAACCAGGTGTGAACTGCTTCACACAATACTGAATTCGCTTTGTATAGGAATGCTTTAATTATGCAATATTGGCCTTTTATATGTGAATGGAGCTTTTTGCTAACTAACCAATGTGGCCAAATGAAATAGAAAGGGAAAACGGCAAATAATGAATAAACATCTTTCACAAACCAGAGTACAGCACCATGACAGCGGCCTCTGTTTTTGAGCCAATGTCAATTGGAGTATTACTCTGAATTCAAAGGTCTGAAAATAAGCCCTTAGATTCAATCTGGTTCATACCAAAAATTCTAAGCAGACCACATTCTGTAATTCCTTACCTGAGCTAACCTATCCTAACTAAGCCTAAAATAGGGACCACTGGGGTGGATCCTTATGCTGCCTTCGGAACTGCTCATCCTGCTCGTCCAAACCAGTTGGACAAGGTGTTTTGACCTACTATCTTGTCCTGGACAAGTTGTCCATCTCGTCCATCTTGTCCTCCTGCGAAGGTGGGCGAGCAGGACAAGATGACATCACAATAGCTTTTGTATGTAAACACTGACAGTTGTAGGTAGCCACAAAGGAGTTACAAAACCTATGCAGCGTGTAAAATAAAGACACCGGTATGATAAAGTAAATGTTTACATTCGAGCAGAAAGGGTCTTGGAGGTTCCGAACGCGGCCCACTTGTCCTGCTAGTCCTGAACAAGTTGTCTGGACGAGCAAGACGAGGAATTCCGAATGCAGCATTAATAAACTACTCAAACAGACCACAACACTTGATAACCACAAAAAATATAAGAACATTTGTCTCCTGGCCATTACAAAAAAATATCCAATAAATTCAAGACCCTAACATCCATAGACAATCGTCTTCGTGAAAGCACCATAGACAACAAACCACCCAAGACACTCCATAACATCTGTCACAAAACAAAACCCAGGACAACACTAAACACATCCCCATACCGCAAAAACAAACCGACCCCCATTCATAACCAAGCCAAACAACCCTAAACAAACGAAGAACAAAGAGACACACTGCCTTTCCTTAAAAAAAAAAAACACCCCCCCCCCCCCGTCACATAAACAACCTCAACCTCCCCCCAACGAAAACATGTCCCGAACACGTCGGCGCCTGACCTCGTGGCCCGCACCCGCTCGTCCAGCTGATCCAGGCAAGGTTTGAGGAGTCCTACGATGCCGTCCACGAGCGCATCCCTCGTAGGAGAGACCAGATCCTCCGTCCTGTCATCTACGGAAGTGCAGGTACTCTCCGTGTCGGCCATCTTTGC